GGGCAGCATGGAGGACATTAGTTGTATGTGTAATTTCTTCCGCACCTTCTAGTCCCATTGGAGCTTAGCATTTTTTCCATGAGAATAAAAACATGCACTTCTTTATTGTGACATGTAGATCCAAATTGCTTTCATCAGTTAAGTGAACTATTTCGCTATTGCGTTATGATATTGTTAGTTCTCATTAAACCTTAAAGCTTCAAAAAAATTAATAAAGAGCAATAGGAAAAGACACATAAAAAAAAAGCAATAGGAAAACACACATTGTTTTCGTAGATTCAGATTTCCAGAAATTTCATCAGATAGTTGCTTAGGAAAAAGGTTCCTCTTTATTCCATACATTGTGAACAACCAATAACTTAGTGGACTATATTTCCGTGTGTGCCCCAAAAAAAGAGTTTGAGAAAGCTTGAAATTTCTTTTAGCTCTTTCCGTGTTCGTAGAAATGAGAGATGATCGGGAACAACCTTCGGGTTTTACCTGTTAACGCACACATCCGGTTAAGGCTACCCACTTCGGTGGATCTTACCCCAATTTTTATATACATGAAAATTTTGTCAAATTCTCTTTCGTCTATCTCCTCATCATTTACTATGTACAATGAGACGTTCGTGTTCTCTAGGAAAAGAAGACATGTTGTTTTTCTCCTTTGCACCTGATTATTGGTAGCCGCATGCAATTGCAATTTGCAATAATAGAAAACTGTATTTCTTCAAGTTTTCCTTCCACATGTCAATTGCCAGTGATATGATGATAGACTCTTCTTTCCGTTTGCACATCAACTGCATTGATAATGTCTAGGTCTTGGATGATTCTACTATTTCATGGATTGTTACTTATCATTCCAGAAGAAGAAAATAGCATCAACTTTTGTTCGAGTAGATATCTGAGACAGTTTCTTGGAAAACCTTTCTCTGTGTGCTGGGCTAGTCTTGTTTGTTTGAATGTGCTAGGTCATCTTCTATATGAGGATAACTGCACTGCAATTCCACTTGCAACAAAATCTGAGGTGACAAGGTTTAGAGGGTGGTACAGAGTTTAATGTTCCTAGCTTTTTGTTATGATAACTAAAAGGCTGTAGCATAAGATAAATGCTACAAGGATTTACAGTCGGCTGCTTTTGACCATTTGACCACTCTCCCTTGCTGGGCTGAGTGCTGAAACCGGCTCAATGGGTTCTAATTCTAAGAAGGGTAATCTAAGTCAATCAAAAAGTTTATTATTCTCCCAAATGGGGCTTTCCTTCACCCACCTCCATAGGGATAGTCCATAACTACTTCTCTTACTACAGGATGTTTACTTAACCAACGCTTAGATCCAGTTGCAAGGACATGATCGCTTGACACAGTTGATATATTTCCTGTGACAGTTCTTCTTGCACTTTCAGCCACCTCGTCATTGTAACTTAGGAGTTTTACTTGAGAGGACTTATGTCTATCTGATAGTTCATTTCCAGTGTTACTATTTCTTGGACAGATCCAGTGCTGTTAACCAGTTTTTGCTGATGAAAGGTGTGACACCAAAGGAAATATTAAAATGAATATAGATCTAGTGAAGATATTAAAATGAATATCAATCCTAAATGATCTCCTTTTTGAACTGTTAGATACGAACTCTCTAGAGGAGGTTGATGTCGCTAAGAGCCATACAATAGAGAAGTTCTGAGAAAAGTAAAGGGAAACAGTAATCAGACAGAATAGAAGTTCAGCCCCATACCCTGGAAATTTCATCAATACTAATTTAATGGAACATGGATTCACTAACTATCACAAGCTTATAGAAGTAGGAAAGCATTGTACAATATAATATTTGAAACATAAAAGGGCTATTAAGAATAGGGATTCAGGTTGGTAAATGTGGCGTTTTAATCGAAGATTCTGTTTCTTTCAATTGCTTTTCTTGTTATTTCATGGTCCTGCTTGTACCTTCTGTTAATGTATGTAGTAACCAATCATCTATATCTGCAGAGCTTGACAAACTGCTGGAAGATGCCCCATTGCCTTTTATTATGCAGCATGCTGCTAGAATTTCTGGTGTTAGGAAAAGAATTACATCATTGAATTCACTTTTGAAGTCTATACAAAGGCGTCTTGATAATATCGATCACACATTATCTGCTGGCTTGATACATGGTACAATTATTTTTCATGATACATATTGTGTCAAGCTTTTTCATGACAACTCAAATAGGATGTACGCAGGTTTTATTCTTTATCTTGATTGATACTTTGCCTTCCTATATGAATGCTTTACTTGTGTAATTTTTCAAAAATAGTTCTATGTACACGATTTATCTTTGTAAACTGGTAAAGTACATGAACTTTTTATTATATCCAAGTCGTTGTATATGAAAGTTCTGTGAAACAGTAATTCTAGAACTCTGTGAAACAGTAATTCGTCGTGGAAATTTAATTTTCCATGGGAGAGTTAATTTTTCTCATACACATAGTTAAGGTTTAAAGGAAGCTTATCCACTCTAGCTGTGGGAAAAATATTTCCTCCTTTGCATTTTATACAATGGTAAAAAGAAGAAAATACCTAAAATAATGGTTGAAAACTTAATTTGACAAAACAAATTAAATGAAAGTTAAAAATTTGAATATTGAACTAAATTTGAATTCTTGGATGTTGTATAGAATATTATTAATGCAATGGTATTAAACCATTTTGAAACATCGCAAAATAGAAAGAGTGTCATATAAATTGAAACAGAGGGAATTGCTAAATAGAAGAAGTGTGTCTGGAGGGTTCGTAACTTGGGGGATTTCACTATGATGATCTTGGGGGGAAATCCTAACGGTTTTTCTTCTTCTTCATTAGCATCTTGTTTCTGCTACGCATGGATGCATGATGTTGCGTTATTGATGTGGTTTAGGTTGACAATGGTTTTAACATTCGCTCTGTGATACTGTGGGTCTTTTTCTATCTCTGGTAGGCATGGATGTATGACATTGTATATTGATGTGGTTTTCTGATGTTCAAGAAGTGCATCCTATGGGTATTAGTCGTCTCTTGTGCGGTTTGAGACATCTGTTGTAGTGTTGTATATTATATATAGGTAACTCATTCTAATTTATTTTTGGCTAATAACCAGCAAACACAGTGGAACTTTTGCTTGTGATGTAGAAATTACTCCACATGTCCCAAAATCTTGTCCTGATTCTGTTTATGACGGAGCACCTGAACAAATTGGCTTTTCTTTCGTGCATTTTTTTTTATATTAGGAAATGCGTCCAGTTCTCTCTCTTTCTCTCTGGTTTGTCTATGGCAGCAGGGGAAATATATTGTGGTGGACTAAATGTTTCAAGGTATTAGGAGCAGTGTTATCAAAGGCGAAAAGCGCAAAAAAAGCTCTAAGATCCGTTGGGGCGTTAAGCGCAAAGCGCAAATAAAGCGTGGGCTTTAATGAAAAAAGGCGCAACGTAAAAATATGCATGTAGTCCAAGACTAATCATTATAAGCATGAATAACAAATATATGGACAAAGAAATTGAAAACAATTCATGATAAAGTGAAATATCAATTGTTTAAGGTTGTCTTTTCAGGATTACACTCATTGGCAAGGAAAAGTATGCCTTAGAGCTTTGATGCGACACTAAAGCGCACACAAAGCGAGGCGAAGCGCTCAACATGTTTTGAGCCTCGCTTCAGGACTTAAGCGCGCTTTAAACGCGCCTTTGACAACACTGATTAGGAGTAAAGTAGTTTTGAGTTAAAATGCTTAATACTTTAATTACAATATAAATTAGAGTATCTGCTTTTCATTTGTGCATTTTAGGTGAGTCGGGCTGGAGATTCTCATTCACTAAAACCTTGTTATATCTTTCTTGCAGAGAAGTCAACAGGGGATGGTGGGCGAGACCATGAGAACCATAACAGTCTTCATTGACGAGGTAATGCTGATAATTGCCGTTTCTGGTGTTCGATGAACATGCTACGTTCTTTCCTTTGTATATGCATGAGTGCTAACATCAAGGAGACAATTCGCATAGGAGGTCAATTTGCGAACTATTTCCTAGTCTTTCATGCAAAAAGGTTGTTGAGGTTTATTGGGTCATATTAAATGTTTCCTTACCACGTTTATTTATTTGATAAGAAAATAAATAAATATGGTAAGGGAACATTTGATCTTGTTGACTGTTGAGTCCATCGGTAGTGGGATGGGGGCCTTGGTTTCTTTAATTGGTCTTGGGCAATCCATATACTTTGAGCTAACTTTTGGGGTTGAGTTAGGCCCAAGGTTCATTTCTTTATCAAATCTAGAACGCGCAATCCTTGTGCATTATATGATTTCTTTAGTTACAACAGCTTTCCTCCTCACGAGAACATCAGAAACTAGCATGATAAACATGGCTGAGTGTCGATAAGCAAGTGATCCACCCAATCTCCCCTTATTTTTTTCATTTATGGAAGAACAGGTATTTTATGGAGAATGTTAGTGGCAAATCTTGACTTTGCATTCTTTGATGCCTGTCTTACTCAAAAGGGAAAAAGAACAATCATTCCCTTCTTAGTTCTTATCTACTCAGCAGTAATTTCTAATTCTAAGTAAACGTCTCAATAATTTCTGCCAAGTGAAAAGTTTAGCATGTAAAATAAGGCAATGAGGGTCCAAAATAGGAATAACCAAAAGCATATTGAGAAAGGGGCATATCTTGCATGGTAAGTGATTACCCAAACCTAGTAACAGGCTGAAGGTAGAGCCCTCTAGCTTAAACTTTTTCGTGCCTTATATAGTCAGCGGAATTTTCTTGCCTTCTACCACCAACCTTTCCCAGTATGCGTCATATGGAAAAGTAAATTGATATATGCATTCTGTCTTGTGTTTCAGTGTTTTGGTGCTGCAATTCTTTGGTGTGCAAATCATTTGCAAGTTGGTGCATTGCATTATTAAAGTACGCAATATTATTAGAAGACGCAAAATGTGATAACCTTTGGATGAGCTAAATTTTCTCAGTATTGCTTTCATGATGTCCAAAAAGAAGTTTGTTGGTTTTATGTCATTGACGAACTTCTAAATCAGTTAATTTGCTATGTGGTTGTTTTGGGGCAGTTCATGATCAAGATCCTGGAGAAGATTCAAATCGCTTTCTCAGTGCCAGTAAAATCTCCTTTTGATTGCAAGCATTTGTAACTGATTCAGCGTACGGTATGAAAATATGGTCTGAGATTATAACATTTTGGCTTTCAGAGAAATTTTGGATATAAGTGCTATCCCTGATTTGAGAATGGTTCTTTTACCTGTCAGAAATGTGCATTTCCAGCTTGTGCCAGAGTGTGTCCGAGTTGCCCAGGAAAGGGAAACATGGAAAATATGTGGCAACTGGTTAGCAGCTCAGCTAAGTGTAGGCCTGTAGGTGCAATTTGAAGGGTGTATCTTTTCTGAAACTTATTCATATATTCTGCTCTTAAAGGTATTGTTAACTGTTTTGCATTACATTGGATGTGTTCTTTTGTTTTACAACAACAAAGTTAAGTGTATAATGTGTATCTAGAAGAGTTTGGATATCTTAATTTATTTAAGGCAGAATACCTAAACAATTCCTTCCACCCC